CTGGTAACTGGTTTAGACCTGTTACCCAATTGAAACTTAGGGACAAATCCCTTGCTAAACTCATTGAGTGTTAACCCACTACTCTCTATTTCAGCATTTTGTTCAAATAAGTATTCTGTAATCACTATCTTTTCTATATCCCGTGAGATGCCATGAATAATAACCTTAGGCAGCTGTTTATGTGGCTCCTTTGCCTCCAGACCCTCTATCTTACCTACCGCATCCTGCAATACTCCTTTATCCTCACACTTACCAACTTCCACAGCAATAGCTCCCTTGCGAAGCTTCCTGATCCCCCTGATTCCAATCTTTAACTTATGGGGCTGGATATGTTCTTTGATCAGCTTTTTAGTTTTTTCCGCCTCTCCTCCTGATGATGGTTGTATGATCAGTACTTCCTTCTTTTCCACTGGCTGCCTATTAATTTTCGGGAGACTGATGACTTGTGTGTACGATTTTCCTTTAACATGTCCACTACTGATATCATCTAATCTTTCATTAATTCTTTTGAACATCTTTGCCACAGTACTAGCTTCATCAGCCATAATATTAATTATCCGGGAGACTTTTCTCATGATTACTTGAATATGGTCCCGGGATCCTATCTTGGACCCCGCATTGAGTGTCAAATATGCCGACAACTCGTTTTGGACAATCTTTGCTGCCGCAGCCCTCTGCTTGAGGGTGCCCACCTCACCTGCTCCCGGCAGGGGTGGAAAATCACCAGATGCTTCCTCGCACTGGCCCTCCAACTTTCGGGGCACAACTTGTGCCCTACTTTTCTCTGGCTGTGAAGCCATAGCAAGCCTTGAAAAAGGCTGTATGCGCACCTGTGTTTAGTTTCCCCCAAAGGGTACTTGCGGGCTGCACCTCGAGAAGGTACACAGACACGACTTTCCCAGAGAAACCTCGTGAAAAAGCAAGCGAAAAGACAAAGCAACAAACGCTCAAAAACTCGCTAGTAGATAGGGACACTTTCACTTTGTAAAGACTTTATTCCACAAAAGCCTCAGCACTGCTAAGCATCGCTGAGGTAATAGTACAGGTAATACATTTGTTATCAGTTTGTATAACATACAGCATATTACATTAAGTATAAGAATAATGCATAAAACACTAGCTAATTTACAACTGTAAAAATAAGATATACACTAATAAAACTAGCACCAACATAGTAAATACTTAACAGTGTGATGCCATGAAAATATATACAATATGTACAGTATAGTAAAAATAGAGGCTTATAATTCTGCAATGCGGCAGTCCAATGCACCAGTCATTGTACAGATGTTCTTTTGAAATAATTCTTGACTAGGTCCTTAAAGGCTTGCATAAGGCTTTTATTTTGTATAAGAGTGTGTATATCCCTTGGCCACTCAACATCAGTTGGTAACAGTGATATAATAGTATTCCTACTGTCTTCAAGCATTGGACATTGAAGAATATAGTGTTTGGCACCATCTTGTATATCACATATATCACAATTTTCGTTGTTTGTAGTAGTGACTCTGTTTAAGTAGTTATTAAATTTTCCGTGCCCAGTATAAAACTGTGTCATGTAGTGGTCTATATAATGCTTGACATTAGTAGAAACCCCTGGAAACAGTTCCTTTGTTATATTTGTGCTTTGCATATCCCAAATGTTTTGCCAATCATTTATTACTGTTTGTTTGATTTTATTGACTATATAACTTTTTGGTATTGCAGTGTACTGTTGTTTAACATTATTTGATATAGCTGTTTGGGCCAATTCGTCCGCCCTCTCGTTTCCTGTTAGGCCTGCATGCCCCCTGACCCAAACCACTGCAAACCTGTTTCTTTTCCTAATCATTTCATGTAAGATTTCATGAACTAATGGATGGTTCCATTAAAGGTTTTTAATCGCTTGTAATGAAGAACAGGAGTCCGTAAAGATGTTGACCTTGATTTCATCATTGTTGTTATTACTCCATTTAACTGCGTTTAAGATGGCCCTAAGTTCAGCTTGGAACACGGAGCAAGTATTTCCAAGTTTCTCTGTGTAGTTATATACTTCCTTCTCTTCTTGGTAAACCACCATGGCACATCCCACTTCCTCATCTGACTTGGAACCATCAGTATATACAGGGTGCTTCAAAAAAATGTATACACACTTTGAACTTCCATAGAAAATTTATTTACCGTTCTACAAAGTTAAATTTCAGGAAAATAGAAAGCTGAAAGTCCAATGTAAATGAAACATAAATAACAAATGTTAATACTGTTCAAATTGGTGACCTGCAGCATCAATACAATTCTGAGTACGAGTCACCACAGATTCTGTACATCGTATCAAAACGTCCAATGAGATTTCTCTACACACTGCTTGAATCTCATTCCAAAGAATGTCTAGGTTACGTGGTTTACGTTTGTACACCTCATCTTTTACTGTGCCCCACAAGAAGAAATCCAGTGGTGTAAGGTCTGGAGAGCGTGGTGGAAACTCGATTGGCCCCCTGCGTCCTATCCACTGGCCCGGCAAATTTTGATCCAGGTAAGCTCGTACGTCCCTGTGATAGTGCGGCGGAGCACCATCTTGTTGAAAATAAAAATCATCATTATCGTATAATGCACGAATGGCAGGAAATATGGAATCAGCAAGCATTGTTAGGTAATTAATACCAGTTACAGTGCCTTCAAATCGAAAAGGTCCAATGAGTCCCCTTGAAGACAAACCGCACCACACATTTACACCAGGCAAATTTACAGCTTTTTCAATTGTAATGTGAGGATTTTCTTCACACCAGTAAACACAATTGTGCCTATTGACAGTTCCATTAAGTTTGAATTGGGCTTCATCCGACCAAATGATGCTACCCATAAATCCCGGTTTACGTATCACCATCTCCTGAATCCATTCACAAAATTGCAACCTTCGATCTGGATCGTCGTCATTTAGCTGTTGCACCAGCCTTGGAATGTAAACACGATACTTGCCTCTCTTCAGAATGCGTAGCACGCTGCTAGCACTTACATCACTTTCACATGCCCCTTGCCTTGAAGATTTGTTAGGAGAGCGTTGAAACAGTTCCAAGACTGCCGTTGATGACTCATCACTTGTAGCTGTTCGAGGCCGACCTGAATGACCTTTATGCACATCACACACTGTTCCATGAACTTCGAATTTGTCTCGTATGCGTGTAATTGTTAATCTTGAAGGTGGTTCTGTATCATACTCCCTTCTCCACTGTCTTTGAACTTCATTTACATTTTCAAACTTCCAGTACCACTTAATAACCTGCTTACGTTCTTCAAAACTCAAACGTACGTCCCCCATGTTGATATTACAAATTCCAACTGATATTATAACATAGAGGGACGATTATGCTGCCACCTGGCGAAGAAATATAACATTAGCCTTGTAGAGCGGGAAAACTACAATAGTTTAAAGTGTGTATACATTTTTTTGAAGCACCCTGTATGTTAGTTGATTGGTCCGTCCAAGGGTGGTCTCTTATACTGGGCCAATTCCAAGGTGCAACTGTTGTGATATTCTTTTGTGTTCTTTCAATGTTTACATAATGTTCACCATTTATTCTTATATCTAGGCCTTTCCTCAACTTCTGCCTTTTTATAGTGCTTTCTAGTTGTAAGATAATGGGTGGCTTACCGGCAATGACCTGCAAGGCAGTAGTTGGTGCGGTTGAGTAAGTTTTGCAAATCCTAATCAAGGCCCTTCTCTGATCTGCCAGTAATTTCCTGTCCAAGTGTGTCTTTCCAAGTCCATCCTCCATAACCGGGGCAGCGTAGCCAACAATAGGCAAGAAAACAGAATCATAAGTGATGCTGGTAATCTCAGAACTAAGTCCCCACCTATTCTTGGCCACCTTTGAGAGTTCGTTGAAGATTAAATTAGTCCTGTCGCAAATATACGTAGCATGAGGGATCCAACTGAGTTTATGATGAATTAAAATCCCCAAATACTTAATTGTTTTTTCAATTTTTACAGTTCTGTTTCCCATTTTAATTGTAGGAGTTCTTTTATATAGATCAGGTGCTCCAGGTTTTGTAAATATTATACCTCTTGTCTTGTTTGGGTTAAATTGAAGTCTGTTGTCTTCTCCCCAAGCTGTTATTTTATGTAGGATTGAATTGGCCCTTTGCTCGATTTGATTTCTTGAGTAAGCTGCTACTAAAATCATGGCATCATCGGCGAATGCAGTGACCCAATCATTTCCAAAATCCTTATCAATGAATCCATCAAATAATAAATTCCAAAGCACAGGGCCCAGGACTGAGCCCTGCGGGCACCCCCTATCAATTTTCCTTGTGTATGCCTCTTTACCAACGAACAGTGTTGCAGTTCTGTCTTGTAGATAGTTTCTTATTATATTGTAAAGGTAGTCAGGACATTTATATTGTTTCAGTCTGTGCATTATCCCCCTCGATGTGGGTTCCTGTCCGTGGTGAGGGGACCTCCCAGAGATGGCTTAGAAAACCTTCTTTGCCATCCCTGGGATCTGAACGCCCACCCACGTGTTTGCCGTGCGTGGTATCCCGTATGCCGGAAAGGGNACTTGCGCAAATTGAAGAGTAGATATTTAAAATCTTTAAACCTTTTAAAGGTACTATGCTGCTCATCCTGGGGAGCAGACAAAGTTTTATGCTCAGGATTTATAGGGCCCTTGTCCGCTCTAAGCTGGACTATGGTTGCATTGTTTATGGCTCTGCGCGAGAATCTGCTCTTCGGATGCTGGATCCAATCCATCATCAAGCTTTGCGTTTGTGCACCGGTGCATTTCGAACTTCCCCTGTTTAAAGTTTGTATGTGGATGTTTATGAGCCTCCATTATCTCTCAGGAGAGAACAGTTGTCTCTCTTCTATTACATTAAACAAAAATCTCAGAAAAAACTTACAGCTGATTGTTCAGATACTCAGCTGAAAAGATTATTTGCCGCTCGGACGAGTTGTGTCCCCACATTCGACATAAGAATGGAGAATGTAAGCAGCACGATTGACCTAGACACAAGCAACATCTCACATGTTGAGGTTAATAGTATTTCACCTTGGTCATCTTCACCGATCGATGTTGATTTAAGCTTAAAGCAGTTCCCTAAAGAAACCACGCCAGACTACGTCTATAGACAGCACTTCGCGGAAATTCAGCATTGTAACAGGAATTTAATTCCTATATACACCGATGGATCTAAGTCGGATAATTATGTCGGCTTAGCCTTTGTTTGCCAGGATGAAATTGTGGCAGAACAAATAGCATTGAATTTTCCCACTTTTCTGCGGAGTTGCAGGCTATTTACTCAGCCTTAAAGCATATAAATCGGAAAGGTCATCGTAGCTGCGTGATTTACACTGACTCAGTTAGTGCACTCCAGGCTTTGCTCTCGTATGAATTTAGTTCTCACTCTCTAGTTATTAAAATTCAGAAACTAATTTGTCATCTCATTACAAGAAATTTATTTGTGAAGTTCTGTTGGGTCCCAGGCCACGTGGGTATAAGAGGTAATGAAGAAGCTGATACAGCTGCTAAGTCAGCAAGCCCTCCACAGCATACAATGCGTATTGAAGGAGGTGATTTGAAGCTAGTTGTTAAAAAACGACTAGCCGAGAGATGGCAAATCATGTGGAATGCACAAATCCACAATAAACTTTACGAGATCAAACCTTTGGTAGAAAATTGGACACATAATAGGCAATATGATAGGAGATCTGAGGTTATCCTTACTCGTCTGAGAATTGGACACACTCGACTGACTCATCAATACCTTTTGAAGGGAGATGACGAACCAGTATGTCAGCACTGCAACTGTGCTGTAAGTGTTAAACACATATTTTGCAACTGTGTTGCTTCTGATCAGAGTCGTAGACAGCATTTCGGAAATGCAAGCCTTAGAGACATTTTGGGCCAGAGGCCAAATCTGGATAATATACTGGACTTTCTAAAAGTCATTAATATGTATAGGGAAATCTGATGAATTAATTATTGTACAGTTTTATTTACGTTGAGTTGCATATATAAATTATTGTATATATATTTTGTTGTTGTTTGTTTATTTATTTTTGTTGTCGCTTATTTATTTATTTTTGTTGTTACTTATTTATTCATCATATTTTAGATTATATATTTATATTACCATTTGCTGTTTAATGGTTAAACTGTGATGTTTCGTTTATGTGTATATATGTCTTCCTATTTATTTTCAACTTCGAATTGCACCATGTGTTGTGGCGCAGTATAGGCTGTATGGCTTTTGTGCCAATAAAAGTTAACCAATCAACCAACCAACCAACCATCTTTGACACTTGATTGTCTCCATCTCTTGAATGCCTTTTTTTCTCCAACGGCTGCTTGCACTTCTTCATTCCACCACCAAATATATTTGTCAAGGTATCTCTTTCAGGTTTTGTGTTGCCTAGGATGGTTCAGGCTGTCCTGTTGATGTGTTGAACAAGACTGGACCAGATGATGGGCACTGGTTGTTCAGGATTGTTGTTGAAGTTAGCCATGCTCAGACCAACTGCTTCCTTGAACTGAGTTTTATGTTCAGGTAGGCGGTGCCACTTAATTCGTTCAGGTCCAGTCTTTTTAGGTTTTGAGGTGTTGCTGAGCTTGAGCTTAAGGTGAAAATTGATGAGGAGTGGGTGATGCTGAGGTGCAATATTGTCTGATGGGACTAGTTTGGCATTAACCACGAATTTTAGGTCCTGTCTTCTAACGAGGCCGCCAGTCTTTTATTTGGGTCATCCATTTACCACTAGCATAGGTCACTAGGTGGCTGGTTTGCTTTTTGAAAAAAGTGTTGACGGCCAAGTCGAAAGCTTCAGCGCACTCCAAGATCCTGTCACCCTCAGCATTCCAGTCCCTGAATCCACTCCCACCATGCACTCGCTCGTAATTTTTTCTTGTTGTGCTAACGTGGCCATTGAGGTCACCACCGATTTATCAGGAATTTATTATTACCGACCAACCGGAGGTGTGCCTCAAAATTTGTCCTTTTCATCTTTCAGGGCGCCTTGTTGCCCACAACAAGGCACCCTGAAAGATGAAAACAACGAATTTTAGAAATAGAAATTTAGAAGGAAATTTAGAAGGAATTCAGCGAATTAACTATTCCTGCTATTCAGGAAACAACTCAAATAGTTTGTTTACGGCCCCTCAATATGGGTTCCTGTTCGTGGTGAGAGGACTTCCCAGAGATGGTTTAGTAACTCTTCTTTACCATCTCTGGGATCTGAACGCCCACCCATGTATTTGCCGTGCGTGGTGTCTCATATGTTGGAAAAGGGGGATCCTGGTAGTTGAGGGGCAACATAACGTCCCCAACACACTGCTTTGGCCCCTGCTTTGGATAAACGGGAGGCTCCAATCAGGCTCTGTTTGAGTCAATCGGCTGGTCGTTGAGTCATTCTTGACCTCGGCTTGGAGTCAACCAATCGATGCAGACCGGGCAGACACGTCAGACTAGATGTGCTCTTCTTGACTGCATTGTAAGGGTATAGCTCCTAGGAAACCCTGGTGTGACGGTCTATGGGAATCTCTCATGTGACGGCATCCCCTTGTTGGGCCCCATGGAGGGTGGGGTCACTGGGAGCTGAATTAATATTACATAATCATGGATCATCAAAAAACCAAAACTACAGACAATGCTACAAAGAAACAAATCATTTCCAGTCAGCCAACCTACTTCATAGTCCATGCTACTGGACAAACACCTCTATCAAAATGTTCTCATTTTCTGATCCAGAAGCTGTTTGAATCTACAGTTGGAAATTGGAAAAAAATACAAAAATTGAGGTCAGGAGATCTGCTTCTAGAAACAGCCTCACCTCAACAGTCTGCAAAACTTTTGGCAATTAAGGCACTCGGGAGATATAGAAGTAACTGTCACCCCACATGGAAGTCTAAACTCATCACATGGTGTGATATCAGAGATCGATCTGATATCTGAAGATGAATCAGATATTCAGATCGGCCTTTCTGATCAAGGTGTAACTGCCATTCGACGCATCTCCATTCGTCGAGATGACAAGTTAATTGCTACCAAACATTTAATTTTAACGTTTAACAAATCGACATTGCCATCTATCATTACTGCAGGATATCTGCGCTGTCCAGTCTGCCCCTACGTTCCAAATCTGCTGCATTGCTTCAAATGCCAGCGGTTTGGACATTCACAGACATCCTGCCGAGGCAAAAGCGTATGCGCACAGTGTGGGATTGAAGACCACGTTAGTACTGAATGTAAAAGTACCCCATGCTGTGTGAACTGTAGAGATGCCCATCCTTCCTACTCTCGGAAATGCCCTGCATGGCAGAGAGAAAAAGAGGTTCAACGGTTAAAAACCATAAATAATATATCATACACAGAGGCCCGTTGTATAGTCACCCCAAGTCCACCAATGAAACAAAAAACCTTTGCTGTTGTGTTGAAATCTACCAAGACATGTGGGGTTCAAACAGATATTTCTGTATCCCCAAGTGAATCTCTTACTTGCCATGCAAAATGTTTATTGATCCCATCTGCACAATCAGAAGAAAAGGAGAACACAAAGACCAAAACTTTTGTAACTAAAATGGGAGTAACAACCAGAAATGTGGGTTCTAAAAAAGCCAGTAAGAACCCACTTAACAAACAAAGAGTGAAAGCAGCCATCTCTGAAGTCTCAAAAAAATCAGAAGCTCAATCTATGAGTGAGTTTTCTGACATATCTGATGAAGAGCATTATATGGAGGTTTCAAAACCAAAGTCACCTCCAAAAGAGAAACCGCCTGTGAAATTAAAGAGGGATACCCTCGCAAAGAATGCTGCCTCAAACACACAATGGATTATAAAATAATCCAATGGAACTGTCGTGGTTTCTGCAACAACTTCTCTGACATTAAACACTTGACATCATCTACCTCATCTCTCTGTGTGGCACTCCAGAAAACCCATCTAAAACCTAGAGAATATATTTCTTTAAAAGGATTCAATCTCTATCGCAAGGATGATGATAGCCCTCTGCTATCATCATCCTTGATACTGGTTTCAAACCACTATACTGGCTATACTGGTTTCAAATGACATCCCATCTTTACCGATACAAATAACCACTGATTTGCAAGCTGTGGCAGTCAAAATTTCAATTGGTGTAACTGTCACAGTTTGTTCTATATACTTGCCACCAGACGTCAGAGCCAATGAGGATGATTTGGACGCATTAGTCGAACAGCTGCCAACTCCGTTCCTGTTACTCGGTGATTTCAATGGTCACAATACAATGTGGGGCAGTTTCGACATTAATTGTCGAGGCAGGACCATTGAAAGATTCATAGGCAATCAGCAAATCTATTTATTTAATACGGGAGAAGTGACGTACTTCCATGCCCCTACAAGAACATTCACTGCCATTGATCTATCATTAGCAAGTCCAAACCTGTTTTCAGCATTTACATGGGAGGTTGGATGTAATCCACTCTCTAGCGACCACTTCCCAATATTTCTAAAATATCGAGGCAGAGAAAGCTGTGAAACAGCCCGTCCACCACGCTGGAAACT